AGAATCCTCCCTGCATTACTTAGCTGATAACAAATAAATGGATTGCAAAATTAGTCGTAAACTTGTAACTATGTGTCTAAGAAAGCCGCATCAGTTTTGCCACTTGGATGTCACATCATAGGACGGACAAATCGTCTGGTTTCATAAATAGTGTAAATACCGATTTCACGCAAGCCTTCCCGGAAGACTAATAATTTAAGAATTAAAATATAATGTATTTGAGTAGTTAGGTACTATAGTAAAAATAGCTTTTGTACTAGCTATAAAAAAAACCATAACATTGTGTTTAGCATACTGACACTTGATTCATAAAACCTGATATCGTGTAGGCCTACTATTACACTCTCAAATACAATTGTCTCTTATAGATTTCCGGACTGTTCACATGTGTTAAAATTTTACCAAGTAAGACTAGTACAGACTAGGATACATTAGTTACTTTTTACGATGGATAAAATTTACCTCGTGTGTTTCCATGCATTAACAATCTTAATTTTTCAATCTTAAAATTTTGTAACAACACGGACCACTTGGATCGTCGCTGAAAGCACAAGTGCGGCGATCTAAGGAAAGTGTCGATGTAACGATGGTTTCTCCGATGCGATGTAATGGCAGAAACAGGACGCGATTATGTGATAACTACATCCGACATGTTCACATCATCTCGTCGTCATCGCCAATACACGTGCTGGACAGGGTCCTTGACACCTCACTACATAGGAGGTGGAAATCAACATTCATAGAGAGGTAAACCACATGATGAACAAAACACGATGGTCAGGATACAACTATATGATGACATTGAGTATCGATCTAGCTATTCCTAACAAGTGAATGGACATCTGCAAGTTATATACGGAATATCTCAATTACTTCACTCAAGATTTATCCGTCGTAAACGTAACTAATGCACTCTGCGGATGTTAACCTCGCTTAGTTAAGCATTAAGTGAGTTATACCTTAATTATACCGCAGCATTGAACCATGTCAAGCAGCGGGAATAAACTGTTTGTGCAATCAAACTTGATTCGTTACGATTATGGAAAACACGTCGTTATAAGTCTCAAGACTTGGGTTACCAATTATAACTCGTGTCACATTTCACACTCAGTGGTTTTAATTTGTTAAGTTAGTCGGCGCTGGTTATTTTTAGTATTTGTTGCAACTGTTGAGAAATTGCATAATTTGTCACTTAATTAATTGTGTAACGGCATACCTTCTGGTTTAAATCGTGTATTGGCACTTAGGGCGTACGTACTGGGATCGGGACGGTGGTGTCGTCCTGTAATCCAGCTACTAGGAGGTCACGAATTGTGGATATTTATAGGCATGCACTGTGGATGCGAAGCTTCCTGATGTGGATTAATGTCCGCACTAGTGACTACTAAGACTATCCGCAGTACTATAATTAGACCAATTTGTCAATTACAAGGACAAAATGTTGTTCGGATTCCACTATAAACTGTAGGTCCCTTAGTTGTCATTGGCTGTATGGGCTATTAATTAACAGCTGTGTCCAGGGAACATGTCGGCCTTAGTCACAAGACTACAAGATCGCGCCACTCATCCTACACACACATTTGGGTTAAAATATGCACATAATGGCGTCCCCATCTGAAATAATTGATAATTGATATGTTGCGGCACCCTTAGAAACTTTGCTACGTGGGTGCTAAATTATAATTAGGCTTTGCCCGCTATACTTTTGCATATCCCCCCTTCACATCCTAGGCCTTAACTGGGAACCTATAAATAATAAAATTCATTGATCATCGGTGGGAATTGAACCTGGGACTTCGGGGACCAAAGTCCTGTGCTCCTACTTTGCTACAAGTATAGGACTTTAGTCTACGGATTATTGAACATCAATCCTTGTTAAATCCCGGGCTGTTAGCGTGTTCGTCAATGATGTTGAATGCCTTGTGTTCCAACTTATGAATCGGTTTAAGCACTTTTGACGATCGACTAAGCCTCGTCTAAATCATCACCGGTTCTCAATAGTTGTAATTGATCAATTGATCTTAGTCAGAAACAATGATACAAACTACGAAGGCAATCTTGCATTCATAATTGACTTTGATCGCAATGAGCTTCAAGTTAAATTCTCTCCAATAACCAATATTTGTACCTATTTGTCAGCCCTATACTTTGTCCCCCAGCAACTATAAATCTAGCACAATTTTCTCTATATTTACACATAATCATCTCGTAAGGTGTTGAGTAATGATTTCAATATGAGCTTCAAAAGTCAAAATACGGCATACCTATTTTGTATTTGATACTTCTGGGATTCAAACTAGTGACCCTCGGTGTTAGGAACACCATGTACTAAAAAGAACATTCAAAATATATTTTCGTTATTCATTGTGGATGTTTTGGTGGGGAAAAGTGTTATTCCATTATTTAAGACCAACGGTCTGTTTGAAATCCATACTGGACACCTTATGAGATCCGCCCTCTATTGAAGGTCACTAAAATCCATCAGATTTACCACCAAACTTCTTGTCACATTCAACCGATTTCCCAAGGTTACAGACGAATGGTAGAAACTCATCAAAGTCAACCTGATTATCGGGCTGGTAACTGTACGGTATATCACTTTGGTGTACGTGTCGATTTTCACGGGTTTCTGCGAGTGTTGCCGCCGTTACGTACGGACGTGTCGGCCCGCGGCTATTGTGTACTGTCCGCTCACCGCTACTCTGCGCCGCTCAACGCTCAACGCTCAACGTTCAACTATTGTCCAACATCTGATAACGCGGTAATTGAATGCCGGTAATGGGACGCGTGCTAAAGACTAATTAATGGTTCGGATTTATAGCTTCTTAACAGGAACCTGTGATCGGATAATCTTGGGTCGATATAATACAATTTGCGATCGGAGAGTTGGAAGTCACGTCAAGATGGTATCAGAGCCATAACAGTAATGCATGAGTCACAATGGTAGGCGTACCATGTGCAAGGATTGAATTTGCTGTACGGATAATGTGCGGATGGTGATGTTGCACGATCACTCGTTAAGTGTTAGAAGTGTTTGCGTCGTTGAGATGTGTGGGGTATTCCCGGGACGTAGGTAGGGTGTATTTTGTCAGTGTGGTTGAGTGATTTAGGTATATGAAATATTGTATAAGGATAAAAATACAAGCTGTACATTTCATGAAGTTACGTATTTAAGGTATGTTTTTACAAATTCAAATAATAATTCATGCCAACTTCAGGAACCCTGCGTGATTCTGAACATCAATGTAAAAAAAAGAATAAAGAGAGAAAGAATAAGAAAGAACAAAATAAAGAGAGGAACGGTTCGTCTCTGTAATCTGTGATCCTTCCATGAAAAACAAAAATTCACCAAATATGTATAAAATACGGTAAAGGAGAGGAAGGTTTTAGGAACATATTTAGTTTAGGGTGATGACAAACATAGATTTTAATCTAGCGTACAGTTAACAGTTAAAATAATTGGTTCAAGTCTCCAGAGATAAAATCACCTTATTTTACACATCTAGGAAACCTTCAACTCTTCCAGTGCTATAAAAGCCACACCGAGAGTTGTAAAAAGTAGAAACATACTTCAAACACGTACTGTCGCAATAAGGTAGAACATAAACAAATTACAAGTCACTTATTGCATTGTAAACACTAAAATCTCGCGGTTCACCGGTGTTTGTTTATGGTGTACACAGTTCTCTAATGGTCCGAGTGGCTGAAAACAGTAGTTAGGGTAGTCTCGTTAACCGTTCTGCACATAAAGTCAGACAGAGTTTCACGACCTCTGAAAGAACGGTTGGCGAGAAACGCTTCGCCTATTGGCTATTACTGGTTGTAAAATTGTGAAGCGAGTTGAAATGAACGTGAAGACTGTGCTGTTCGGCACGGAAGTTTCGGCTCCAGAGGTCCAGCTGCTGAAGTCTCCAGCCCAGAGTAGGCTTTAAAGTGATTGGCTGGACAAGCACCGTTACCGCATTGTCTTGACGTTTCTTTCAATATCATCTGGTTGGGACAAAGAGCTAGTTACGTTTTCTTGTGCGACCACGTGTCTCCCCTTCAGATCTCCAGCACTGATTGATTCAAGGGAGTTTACGGCGGTAACGAGAATGATGCAAAATGACGTGAGAAACAAAGCTATTCTGACGCAATTTGTGTTCATTGTGTTAAAACTATTGGATAGAAGATATAACACATTATACTGTATAGTAACATGGTTAGGTAGCTGATCCAAAAAGGCGCCGGAGAAACGTGAGTTGCTGTTTGATTTTTGAACTGATCCCAGCTGTTCTTGATCATCAAATGGCCCTAGCTAATGAAACAGCTGGTCTTGGTCAATGGTAACATACACAGATCATCTCACTCTGTTCTACACGCGTACCCATCGCAATTAGTAATAATGATACTGTGATAATAATAATATACGGAGATGTATACGATGAATCAACAATTTTCAAATTTCATGTTATATAGTTGTGATAGGACAAGCACACAAGCCAATAACTGGATTTTAACTTCCCCAGACCTACTGGGTTGCCGGGAGCGTTGTTGCGTTTTTGAACCATCTAGTATACTGCAAAATAAAAATAGGGATGTTTGTACCGTTTTTAATATTACAATGAATTATTCACAATCAATTCGTCGAGGCAGCGATTTACACTTGGTACGTATTTTATGTTGAATGTGAATGAAAGGTAAGTGAGATGTTCAGTGTAGCTTTATTTTATACTGACTAGACAGCTTTTTCATTAGTCAGGATCAATCGCCCAGTTATAGAAAATAGTGGGGCATTTGAGGTGACATTACATTTACAAGTACTGCTTTTAAAAACACATTGTGAAGGGAAACACCGTTTCGCTGGTCGGTTAGTTAGACCAGCTTCATCAGTTTCTATCAGTTTTTCCCACCGTTCGTGACACAAGTTCCCGCGGCGAAGTTGGTGATTAAAACGGCGATGTTTTTGCCTTGTGACAATGGGCGAGTTTACTAGCGGTGGTTAGTGTTTTGTGTTTTACCTGCACGTGAACTCCCGCTCTCCCAGGCACAGTTCGAGACAGTCCTGTCTTGTCCCGGTGGCTTGGGTCTTCTTGACGTATCCACTGAGTCGGTAGCCTTGTACACGGTCGAAGCACCAGGCTCTCTCGCAGGGCTTCACCCCCAGGCAGCTCTTCTGGGCGTAGATGGTGAACACGGGGAACTGGGATTTACTCAGCGCTCCTGGAAAGGGAAAAGTCTTAAACAAATGTCAACAAACGTTTGTAACGTTCACAGACTCGGAAGGATTAACAAGTAATATAGTTGAGTTTGGGTTTCTGAAGTAAATTTCCCATCTTTATGGGCCAGATCTAGCAAATTTTTAATTGAAAAGTGTGCTACAGTCTAAAGTTACATTTATGCCTTATTTTATGTTAATGATGTTTGATGTGACATGATAGATGCTATAGCTTACAATAATTCGTTCTTTCAATTTGCCTTGGTTGCAAAGCTAGAGTACAGATACAGATTTGTTGCCATTGGCTCAACACAAATATTTTGCACATGAAAGAATGTTCATCTTATTATAAACAATTTAACTATGGAAGACATTCCATCCCTAGTTAAAGGTTATTGTTGTAGAAGTTTCTTACTCCATACCTCAACCATGGTGTCAGCCATGAAGGTAATTGTGCAAATATTTTGTATAGTACACGGCAAAGCTTTACTATCTACGTGAATATATTTAAAACATTTTGTTATCGAAATTAAAATAATATCCGTGCTGAAATGATAGTACTCTTCAAAAATCCATAGTTCATCATAGTTTATCATCTCCGTTATCCTCAACTAAAAAACGGGAGCTAATCGCAGTCTCGTGGGAAAGTAGCGAGATCATCTAATACATGTAATAGCTCTGATGACTTCCTCCGTCTTTACATGGTACATGTATATGGTGAGGCGTGTGACGTGAGCGCCCCATTAGGCCCACTTAGACGGCAACCTGAGCCATTAATACGACTGATGTTGATGTTGATGAATAGCGATTAATTTGGGGCTGCAACTGTTACTAAAGACTTGGCGATTTCGGGTCTAAAAATAGTTAAGAGAAAGTCTTAAATCATTGTCAGAGTTGTGTAGGACAGACAGAGTCTATAGACTACCAAGTACCTATACTAGGTTTGAAACCGCACATGCCTCTTTTGAACTTGTATCAACTTGATCGTTGTGCAATTGTTTTTAATAGAACTACTATGTAACTATTAGATCGGATCATTAAAAAATCCCTGAAAAGGAATAAAGAATTAGAACATTATCTACACATTATCTATATCCACACATTTAGTCGCCTAATTGTGTAAAATATTTTACTCAGACATGCCAGAAAAAAATTATAACATCTGCAAAACTAAGGGATCAGTTTAAAAGCAAAAAGTGCAAATTCCTTCGACATCCATCTATAACGAGTATAACAGGTGCACAGTCATATCACATAATCTGCATGTTTATCTGTATGTTGTTCGGGTTTATTTTCCTGTGATAACTACGGATGGTATAACCTGACTTATGTCCGTATTAGGAAACAAACAATACCGCTATCAAACGATCACTCAGGGTGTATCAGTAGTTAGGCTTGAAGGCGGTGCCGCAATACCGAACTGGGAGACAGATATAGATTGTTGAAGCAAGGGAATTCCCTCGAGGATAGCTGTGTTGCAGATCTGCAGCAATGCAGCATTGCAGCACTGCAGTCTGCAGCACCTGCTAGACCAGTTCTGATGACAATGCGACCAGGAATGTTGCTGCGGTTGATATGATAGATTCCGCTAATTGCTAGGTTAACCATACACGGCGTCTTGTTGTTCATTAACCTAGGCCCAGATAGCATCACCGTGCTTCCCCTCGCCACAGGAGGTCTTGCAGAGGTCCTTGTGTTGGACCGTGTAGACGGGTTAATGCTGTAATTATTGAATGATTGGGTCGTTGATAAGTAATTTAGTGAAGAGGTTGTTTTGGTCTTTGGAGTAATTATCTTAATCTATGTGTAATCTTTAGGTCATGTCCTATGTCAGAGATTTTGGTCGGTACAATGCTGTGTCGTATCAAGCATTGTTGTTTCAGCAAGGACTCTCGGATTTATGATTTACCGTTGATTTGGTCCTTTACATGGAAAGAAAAGAAAAGGTAATTTGGTAAATAGTGTTTTGTTCCCTAAGCGAGCCCCCGTTCTGTAACTCGACGACGTACAAAACACAATTCAAAATTATTTCGGAATAAGTGACGTCTGTTAAAAAAAGTATTCCCAATAGGCAACATTTCCTGGGAAACTCCAGAACAGAGTCACTTTGATGTTCCACTTTTGCAAACTGTTCGACGTTGCACCTGTTGATCAGCATGTGAATCACTTGGCGAACGTATTGGCTCAGTCCGTGGGACGGCTTCTATGCAGATGAGCGCGATCCAGGGCAAGTTGCCTCCGTGTGCGGGTGAGTGTGCGCATGCGTATAGCCGTGAAATATGGCGGACAATGTTACTGGACACGGCGCAGACGCAGGCGCCCGGACATGGTCACTGCTTCCGTTACGGAGCTAACTGTCCGTCGCAGTCCGTCCACCGGTTTATGGGTGAAATAAAACGATATGAAACCGAATCGGACTGTTGATTGGCTCGATGAAATGCGTAGTTTATTGTCTTCGTTAGCGCAATGCGCGGCATGCAATTGATTGCAGTGGAAAAAACTGTGTTTAGTGGATATGTACGTAATTAAGTGTAGGTAGACAGTTATGTGACCCGGTTGGGTTGTCGTTGAGTCGATTGTCTTAGTGCAAGTGTTTTGGATCTCGTGAGGGGTGCGATTTTGTTGTCGTTTAATCGAAAACTTACGAAGAAAAGTAGTATACTCAGTAATGTTAGATTACAATTTCGACATGTGAAATGCACGGTAAAGTATCATGTGCGGTAAAAGTCCTTTGTTACAGCATGCCAATTGATTTTGCATTGGTATGTTTGAATTATCGTTATCACAAAGAATCTGTAATTTTTAAATTTAAGTCACTCTTTTACTCGTTTTTATAAGTTATTTTCGTTTTACGAAATTCCCCCAAAAAATGTTCACTGACTAATGATTAACATTCACGCTAATATAACTCTACCTAAAAGTTGCTAAGAGTTTCGTAACAGGATGAATTTACCCGATGCCAACGTTCACATAGAAAAGGAAATAGAAAATAGACAAAACGGTACTTTCGGACGTGCAATTGACTGATTATAGGGCCTAAGTTGAAGGAAGTGCGTAGCGAGATGTGCTTGGGTCAAGGGGCATGCAGCCACGCAGGCACGCACCCGTCACCCGCCGAAATTAGCTATTCCTAAACTTGAGAATGTGTAATTACCCGCCAAAAGTGATTAACAGCTTATCCCGGGATCAAGACGCAGCTGTAATGCTCATCCTTGCGCAATAACTATACGTGGCGAGGTAGCAGCTGATAGGTGGGAGTGGTTACCATCTGATATGCGGCATTCATGCTTCTGATGGGTTAATCTACTGATTTTACAATTACCACGTTGTAAGCCCATCAAAACCCCTTGACCTGTAATTATTACAAATATTTCTTCCAGGATTTCATTATGATGGACTGATAGGTTACACGTGGTTGATAAACTATTATGGTTGCCAAATACAGTATCAAACTGCTATATATAGACAGAAATTTTTATATCCCTTGGTTAGATATATTCTGTTAGGAAATATAATTGATAAATACGTTTACTAACACTGAAACAATTCCATCCACTTACGAACTTTCAACATTTTCTTTTTCCTTTTGAGGTGTTTTACAATGCAGCATAAGAAACCCATTCTGATTCTATCCAGTAATTTCTTTAAACTATTCATTTTTACGATAGCCACTGTTGTATAGAAACCCTAATAAGAAAACGCTCAACAGAAGATCAAACCCTAGGCGTTTCAGCAACTACATAATTGCATTTTAATCGTCGACTATTTTACAAATGCTTAATTAAATCTAAGCTGCCTTCTGACATAATTATGATGGCGCAGGATGAAGAGGTTAATTTGCATAATAGGCCAAAGATCGTTGATCTTGGCTAATGAAAATGGTATGAAAAAGAAACGGCTGTAGTACGATACCCTGGAGAACTCCGTTAAAAACAAGAACGGTGCGAGTACACCACCCTGTCAACGTCAACGTCAACGCATGTCCCGATGATGACCGGTCCGTTAGTCACCTCCTAACGAGTGAATAATTTCATAATGGCCCTCGCGTCGCACGAGCGGATGCAGCGTTCTTCCTAATTATTTCCACGACTGGCTACTGAACTCGCGGCCTTGCTTCACTCCCACAATAAGAGGCCTCGTTATGCAAAAACAGCCAGAAGTCATCATACTTTGTTGGTTGTGTAAGAACTCACTTGTCGCGGCTGTCATTAGGACACAGAGAATTCCTGATTTGACGCAGTAGGTTTTTGGCATAGTTCATGCAGTTGTCATTTGTAGTAATTGTGGAACCGTTGTGTTGTGCTAGGTTAAAGGTCGGGGAATGTGGAATTGTATTTGTCTTGGCTATACTTTAACATAATCACATTTGGCGGGAGATGATAATGCTTTTTAATCGCATATAAACCTAAAATCTAAGATATAAAGAATCGTTGCAGTCTTCAAGCATCTTCAAATGCAGTTGGCAGCATTACTGTGACGCCTACATTACACATTTTTCTTTTCTTATGAAATAATTGTGATTTATAACCTAGTTTGTGTCATAGAAGAAATGGTAAGAAATGCACTAGAATCACTTGTCAATAGTTTTCCGCAAAACCTACTATCTCTTACAAATGGTGTAACATGGGTCCACAATGTTTCCAGCTTGTTTTTGAGAGGGCATTTGGCAAAATATAAATCATAACTTTGTTATTATATCATAATGTAATTCAGCTCATGTTCTTGAGTCGTACCAGAAACTCAAGGATTTTTTACCAATCAATACTACCCAATGTCTAGCCGTAGCTTAGTCCACAGATGAAGGGGTTTGAGCAGCACTAGAATCTCTTTGCAACCATGCTCATCCTGCAACGTAGTTAAGTTCAAAATGCTTTCCTTTTTTAGTTATTTTAATTGGGTATTTGACAAAACACCAATCCTCTCTTCATCTTTGAAATATCATCGTCATAGTTTTGCTCACGTACTTTAGTAGCAAAACAAACTGTTCGCGATGTAAACACGAGCG